CCCCCCAAAAAAAAGGCATTGACTTACGGTATTAGCACTCTATAAAAGAGGAGTTACACATTCAGGCTCAACTGTACCTTGGATTGATATGTGTGTTCAGAAGGGCTTATAATACTCTCGTGTCTCATTTACTCTTTCTGCCTTTAAAGATACACAGAGGACACGATCCTTCTTTTTACACTGGTGAAAATAAAGGTATGGAAAAGTTAAGTGGCAAATCTCAACTCATACATACAGGGAATTGAGGGCAAAACACAAATTTTCTGTCTCACAGCTTTATATTTTGTCCATATCAAGCACTAACTTATATTTGGCTAACGTCCATGAAGACTAGGAAAGTATATGAAAAAGTTGATCATTCTGGGATGGAGGAAAGGCACTCCTTGAGCTTAGGTAGTACTTTAAGTGTATAAGCTCTAGGTTTTAGTAAATTAACATATTTAAGAATCCATTTCAGAACATCATGTAGACATATTTTTAAAAGTCATGTCTTATTTCACAGTAATTGGGTTGAAGAGCCACTCTTGTCAAAACCACCGATGAGAGACTCCATAAAGGAAGCTTATGACAAAGCACTATCAGCTCTGGGGAGTGGTGATAGATGGCGGTATCATTGTAAAAGCAAAATTCACAACAGTTTCACCCAGGACAGGCTATTGATAATGTTACAGATGAATGCTAAATCCTACGTGATAGGAGCTATCTGTCTGATTCAGTTTGGTTCTTCTTGCATGTTATTAAATTACCATTCCCTTCCTTAGTCATCTTCCCTGTTATTCACTGTTATCTAGTCCTTTGAACACTTGACAAATGTCTTCTCATTTATCCTACTATGTTGTACAGTCTTCCTTTCATTCTCTGTCTGTGATTTTCTCATTTTTAAATCCTCTTACCTCAGTTTTACAATCTTCCAGTGCTCCTTTTGAAATAATACCCTAAGCAATACCTTGTGTTTCTCTCTCACTTTTGATTACCATTTTTTTTTACATTCAAGTTCACTAAGCTGTGTATTTTTTTCCATCTATTTTTCTTCTCCTTTTTTCCCTTTTTCTTTCTTTTAAGAGTATTTATATTAAGCAGCATGCATTACCATTAGGCACACATTAATTTACTTCTGAACAATGTAGCTGTTACTTTCTTGCTTTAGCTCAAGCAGTTCTCACTGTGCCTCTTGAAATCTGCACATAATTTTCTTGGCTGGATATTACTCGTGTCTTTTATTTTCTGCCTTCTTTATGTTAAAGCTAGAATCTAATGGGGCGAATCTAACTAGTGAATAGACAACATTGCTTAGATGGCATCCAGTTCTGCATTCGCAGATTTATATGGCTTCCTGCTAAAATTAAATATCAAATCTAATCATTTATATGATATTCTCAAAGGTCATTTCAAAAACTACTGGTTTTGCATGTCTAAGTGGCAGTGAAGTACCCCTCAGGCAAGCTACTACACAACACACAAGGAAAGAGACAGGAAACAGCCAAGTGACCCTGTGGAACGTTAATAAATGAGTTCTATGCAATTTCTCCCTGAATGTCTCAGGTGTCAACTTTAAAAGTTCCAAACCAAGCAAGTATCCTGTGCTACACATTTATCTCTCTTTTAAAATATAATAGTAAAACTGAAAAAGAACATTGTTGACAACTTAAACCTTTTAAAACTACAAATAAGGTAAACATACAAAATTGTTGGCACTTAGCTTTTAAAATTAGTGTCATCATTTTGGAAACAGTTTTTATTTAAATTTTATTTTAAATAGGATGTAAAAGACAATCAAATGAAACTAAATATTGATGTTTTATATAATTTAGTCTATTACATACATTGAGGAGATGTTTTTCAAAGGAAGGAAAATATCCAACTCAATATAATTATAAATACTTGCCTGATTTTAGAGTGTTGTAGAGACATTAAACATCAATGCTTATTTTCAGTTTTTATACCTGTCACCCAGTTGTTCAAATTGCTATTATTTACATTACTCGCAGTTAATTAGTTTTTACTGAACTACTATGTGCATGATATTGGTGATACCGTGGTGAGAAAAACTATTTAGAAGACATACGTCCTGCCCTTTTGAAACTCATAGTCTGGGGGAGTAGAGAAGTATTTGCTGAGTGATCATGAAAATAAATTTATAATTACCAACTGAAGAGAAAACACAGTGGTATAAGCCAGTTATAGGAATCTCATCACACCTTCAATGTCTCTCAGAACGCAGGGTTCCATGAGCTGAGGTTTGAGAGGTGAACTGGAATTAACAGAAATTAACAACATATAGGAGAAGGTGACTGACTTCAGAGGCTAAAGACAACATATATGGAAAGGCTCTACGGTGGTGGGATGAGCTAACTGAAGGGCAGTATGACTGGAGAGCAGACAGCCAGAGGCACAAATACCGGGAGATGTGGTCAAAGATAGGACTTGGGGCTTGAACTTAAGAGCAGTGAGAAATTAGGAGTATGAGTTTAAACACTAGGGAGACATATTCAAATTTAGAAAAGCAAAAGTGCATTCTGGCTACACTGTAGAGAACAGAGTGGAAGGGAAACTGGTAAAAGCAAAAAGGAGTAGGTAGAAAGCCAGTGTGTTCATTTCCAGCTAAAGATTACAAAGAGTGAATGAGAGTTGGTTAGTAGAGATATAAAGTTATACAAGAAGGGGAACCCCCTGCATTTGGTAATGAGTTGAATAAGTGGGGGTACAGTAAGAAAGAAGAAGGACCAAGAAAAATTTCTAGCTTTCTGGCTTGTATATTCAATGTATCAGACAACCAGACTGTGAGTTGGGGGAGAGATGAGGCTGGGGAGTGAAGCATGAATCACATCACAATGAGAGAGGATTCTATGTCATATCGAACAAAATGGAGAGCTGTTGTAGAATTTGAAGAAAAGTGACATGATCAAATCTGTGATTCAGAGAGTTTAGTGTGTCATATAAATAATAATTGTAGTTGAATCTGGCTTAGAGAGAGAGGTCATACAAGGAAACTGAATTGGATTGGGTTGAAATGAAGGTAGAGTAAAAAGGTAACTCATTCATTTGGTAGGGGACTGGCTACATATTGGAGGATAAATACATCACTGAGATGCTCTAAACAGGAGAATGAGCAGGGGAGGGGCAGAGAGAGAAGAAGACCCAGGATCTGAAACGGGCTTAGCAGAGAGCCCGGTGTGGGGCTCGAACTCACAAGTGGTGAAATCATGACCTGAGCCAGTCTGATGTTTAGCTGACTGAGCCACCCAGGTGCCCCTCAACTTTGCTTTTCACCTTAAACTCTTCTAACATATAAAGTCTATTTTTAAAAATTTATTCAGTACTGGAGAGTCTGCTGAAGCGATGACATGATGTAGGCTAACACATAATAAAGGTCTGACTTTCCTAGTTAAATATTTCTTATGTTTCCAGACTTAGATCATTAGGCTGTAATCAGATCAATGAGAGCAATGATTGTGTCAGCTTTGCTTATACCTCAATCCCCAGAGTCTGTCATTCTGACACAGTACGTAGAACATGGTAGATGCCCAATAAGGATTAATTAAATAATTGAATAAGTGAAGTGCCTCTGGTTCCATGGAATTTTCCCTGATTACCGTAACAAGATTAAATTCTTTCATTTGCATGTGTTTCTCAGGTACATTTCTTGTTCCTTTCTTTTATTTCATGTTTTATTATATATTTGCATGCAGTTGTCCCACATTACCCTCCATGCACTTAAATACATAGGTATACACACACGCAAACACACATCACATGCACACACACTCACAAACTAGATACAAGTTCATTGAAAGACAAAGCCTCAATTATAAATCTTTCATCTGTAAACACCTAGCTTGGGTGAACATTCAGAAGTGCTTGTTGAACTGAGTTTACTTTGCTGTGATCAGTTTAAAATTTCTTATTTATTTGTACTTACATAACAAATACAAAATTATTAACTATTAAATTAATAGGAGTTAAATGTACAGTAATCTAATTAATACTACATCTGGCAAGAAATTCTATTCTTGCTGGTACAAGATTCTGAAAAAGTGTTTAGTATGCTGTTTGTGATATCAGGGCCATTGTTCAGTATTATGTGCTCAGAAGCTGATTTGATTTCTCTACGGAAATTTTCCTAAACCTGCAGCACGCTTGTGTGGTGGGAACAGTAAAAGGCCAAGGGGAATCTGGAGACTAGGTTCCGCTTAGGTTCCTGAGTCTAGTGAATTGTGTGGCCATAGGTAATTCATTTCACCGTCACAACCTGAGGTATCTGTTCTTAAACAAAGAAGAAATGAACTAAATAATATGTAAGAGCCTTCTAGCTCCAATATTCTTTGCCATTTAAAGTTCTTAGGTAATCAAACTGGATGCCTACCTTACAGGCCAGTTTTCTGTTCATGCATTTTTCTGGCCACAAGATGGCGAACTTTATGTTGTTTTCTTTATTCTCTAACAGCAAAAAGAAATTTCACCCTTTTGCAGTTTTGAAAGTTTAAAACACCCAATTCCTTAAAAAGTCTGATAAATGTAACACAGACTTTACATCCTAAGTTTTAAAAGTGTCTTAAATGCTTTGGATTTTCACAATAAAGATTCCTCTTTTGTGTAGGAATACTGATTTAGACTATTTCTATACAAATGCAAATATCCCGTGATGAGATCAAAGCGTCTCTAAGTATTTTCATTTGTTTTTCTTTTTCCTTACATAGTCAAAGACAGTGCTGTTGGAATTCAGAATTGATAAAGACTTCACATGCAACTGGGTAGCATTTTCAAAATATACTGTCACTTTGGTATTTTTAGCTTTTGTCCTTGACATTGTCCAAGTATGACGACAACCTTCTTTGATGCTAAGATTCTCTTTGAGGCAGCAGTAGCAAGTCAAAATACATCTACTTCATACACCAAATTGGGAATTAGAAACAAGATTTGCACCTCAGAAATATGATGTAATTTTCCTTAATATATAGGATCTCTCTGCTTTAAGAAGCTTCCTGGTCTTCCCCACTTACCCTGTTCAGAAGCTCATTCATTTCTGTCACGAGTGTGTTCAAATTGCCCTCTGCCAATTGAATGAGCCTCTCTGGGGCTCGCTGAGGTGAGAGCAAATGCTGAAAAAGATTTCCACAAACATTTTAGTAAATGGTTTTGTAGTGATCATGGGGTTGAACATTTAACAGTTTTCCTTTATATACAAGGTATTTAGCCTTCTCATCTTCAAAGAAAAGATAGAGAAACCATTTCAACTGGGCACATATATACAAAGTGCTATGCAGAATATCCTGGCAAATAATACAAATTGCGGTCATTTATTGAGAAATTCTCTGTGCTAGGCTTTGTTGTTTTGTTTTTTCATGTAATTCCTACAACAGTTCTATGAGGTAAATGTTATTCTGTCTTGAGTATGAGCAAACCATGGCTCCAAAAAAGTTAAAACTTATACAACATCACATGGCCGGTAAGGGGGAGAGTCAAGATGAACCCTGTTTGATTGTTTAAGACTTCCACTTCCACCAAACAGAGACCCTGTTTACAAGAAAAAAAAGAGAACAGAAGCCTTTGATGGAGGGAGGGACCTGGCCGGGCACTAACTAACTGAGCTGGTCTCAGTTTTGGAGGACTTGGTCTCCCACTCATATAAAGCAAGGCTGTTTTCTTCTCCTGTTGAATGTAATCAATCTCACAGAACGCTAACCTTAGCCGGGGTCACTCTCTGCCACTGATGAATGAAAGAAAACCCGAGACCATTCCATAATCTTGTCTACGCAGACAAATCCACGGTCTTGGTGTAGACCACAAAAGTACCAAAAATTCATTTGCTGTCGAATCTGAGAGACCACTGCCTCTTTAGAAAACACAGCTTTAGCCTCCCTCTGTTCTTACCTCCTTTCAGATAAGATTCATTAGAATAATTGATTACCACCAGTTCCTAGTCCAGCCCAAATCCCAGCTTTCTTTTTTTTTTTTAATTTTTTTTAGTGTTTTTATTTATTTGTAGGAGAGAGAGAGAGAGACAGCGCAAGCAGGGGAGGGTCAGAGAGAGAGGGAGTCACAGACTCTGAAACAGGCTCCAGGCTCCGAGCTGGCAGTCAGCACAGAGCCCGACGCGGGGCTCGAACCCACGAACCGTGAGATCATGACCCAAGCGAAAGTCGGACGCTCAACCGACTAAGCCACCCAGGCGCCCCAGAATCCCGGGTTTCTTAAACCTGCCCCCAATCACCTAGTGCACACACAAGTACTCTAAGTCATTTCTCTTACCCTCTTAGTGGGACATGTCTCAGTGCCCCAAGGTGTGCAGCATCCCTAGTTGACAAAGGCAACTCTGTTCTCAGTGGTCTCTGGCCGCAGCCACAGAGCATTGGCACAGTTAAAGGGACTGAACAGGAGGTAAAATATTACCCTTTTAAAATATCGAAATAGAATCCCAGGTATCTGGGTATTACATAAATTATAAAAGAAGAACACAAACACAGAACCAAGAAAAGCTGGAATTTAAGGAAGATCAAGGTTGTTTAGACCAGCCCTCAGCCAGCCCTCAGGAAATAGAGGACTGTTTCTCTGGACTTCAGGGATGGCCACGATCGGAACCTTTTCCATTAGCGCCTTTCAATACTTTATCCAGTGCTTATGTATTATTTTAAAAATTGCTTATGTCCTACTGAAGTATTTGCTTTCCTAGTTTAATCTGCTTTCTTTGTATTCAGTCCATGAACAACAGGTGCCCCTCATTCACGGGGGAGATATCCAAAGATCCTCAGGGGATGCCTGAAACTGCTGATAGTCAGGAACTCTGTATATACTGTTTTTTCCCCTATACATATGTACCTATGATAAGGTTTCATTTATAAAATAGGCACAGTAATAAATTAACAACAATAATAAAATAGTTATGAAGGCATACTGTAACTGAAGATATGTGAATGTAGTCTCTCTCAAAATATCTTGCTGGACTATACTCACCCTTCCCGTGATGATGTGAGATGACAGAATGCCTACATAATGAGGTGAAGCGAGGTGAATGACACAGGCACTGTCATGCAGCATTAGGCTACTACTGACCTGGTGATAAGTCAGAAGGAGTCTCATCCACTTGTGAACCATGGTTGACCATGGGTAACTGACACCATGGTTAAGGGGGACTAAGGAAAATAACTGGCCAGCATCTTCTTTATAAAACTCTTCACATTCCTGAATGCCAGGCCTACAAGGTAAACTCAGATTCTGCTGTCTAGCTTTCAGGGTTGTCCTTCATATCGTCCTGCCCTAATCAAGTTGCTAGCTTTATGTTTTACTAGTATGTCTGCCTTCTAATATCTAACAGACAGAGCCTTGTGCATTCCCAGCTCTGCCTCTGCTCATCTGCTCTCTTAGACTCGATGGCAAGAGTATGTATGAGCCCAGGGTCAGGGAGGCCTCATCACTGACAGGCCGGGCCCTTCCAAGGGAAGTCATTTTCTCTCTATGAGCTTTACAAAGGTGATTTCATTCTCACCGGCCCTAAAGTTACAGTGGCCTCTATTCCAATCCTGGCTCTGCACTTAGTGGCTACGTGATCTTGTGTCTCTAACTTTGCTGTGCTTTAGTTTCCCTACCTGAAAACAAAATCAAACAAAAACAAAAACAAAAATATAAAAGATACACTATATCTTTCCTACTTCTTGGAGCTTCTATAAGTTTTGTGTGTGGTAATTCATGTAAGACTTTAGTCACTTAATTGCTTAGCACAGAGATACTCATCAATAAGTGCCAGTTATTCTCACTGTCATCATTATTGGTTTCTTCTTCTGGAAAAGAGGAATAATAAGGCTTACCTTAAAGGCCATGGTCCAGATTATAGAATATATTCCCCTAGAAGTGTGTCTGCCAGTGCCTAGTGAATAAATCTTAGATTTTTCCTCCAGTCCTTGCCAATATTTCTCTGCCTATTCAAATTGTGTCTATCCTTCAAGTTCCAACGCAACTGACGCTCTCATTAATAATGCATTCCCTGGTTACTCTGAATATTACCTGTTTCTCCAATCTTTGTACTCTATTGTAAGTCAAAGTTTTATAAAGCACATGGTGATTATGCTGAGTGTTTAATTGTTGTTTTAAGTGCGTAGACTGTAAGCTTCCTGAGGGTAGTGGCCCCAGGATAGGAGGCATGAAACCCCCAGGGGACCAAGAACAATATTGAAGCAATCCAGAATTTCTCAAAAAAAAAAAAAAAAGAAAAAGTCTGATCATTGACTGATAGTGTATAAAGCAGTTACTTTTCATCTTTTTTTCATTAGATGAAACCCCAATTTCCTTAACATTTCCTCCTATCTCACCAAGTTTCCACAATGTTTTAGAATAGTGTTACTCAAATTAGTTCTTGCTGAAGTATCTTCAAAGGTCTACTAGCTCTCCAGCTCCAAATTTTATTCTTGTGTTTTCACTCTGACAGGAAACCTAAATGTTAATAATGTAAGCATTTCTGGAACTCAGGCTGGGAACCTGAGAGATGGAGAGATGAACCTGATCTCAGCACCTACCTTTGCATGCATGTTTGATGATGTGGCAGATCGAGCACATAAATCATCACTTGAACTTGAACTCGTCAAATGATGCCAAATGTCATCTTAGGGCCCTTTTGCAGGGGCTGTCTAGTTCATAGTGTGGAATAGTAAGAGTTACATGGAACATACTGATAAAAAAAACCTGTGTGGAAGCAGTCAGTATTCTTGTTGCGAGCAGTAATTTGCTTTCAGCAAAAATTGTCTGTTATTTTATATTAATGTTTTTAATTTTAATTTTATTGTTTTTTTAGGCTTTTGTGAGGATTAATGTGTTTTGATTTTATAGAGCTATAAGTATAGGGAACTCATACCTGATTTTATGTTTGTACATATTTAAGTAACATAATAAAGCTGATTTAGGCCAAGCACTGGGGGTACATAAGCCTCTTTCCCTTAATAGCAACCTGTATATTATAGTGCTCAAATGTAGAAAGCACTGGTTTAGAAAGTCTCTGAATCTCCTTACTGGCTGCTTTCCTTGATTTGGGGCAATGGGAAGAAAAATGTATCAATTATGGCTCCTTGGGAAGCTTCTGTTACTTTCCCATGGCTCTCATATTACTGCTCCAACCTACCTTCAGTTCTTGAGTCCTATTTTCAAGGTCATACAGCATTTTATACGGGGCAGGCAGCGGGCCAGTGAGGTTGATGCTCATGGCCATCTGCCCCAGGCGAGCCAAGTCACCAAGGAGAAGACCCGTGCATTCATCTCCACAAACTGTGAAAGGGAAACAACATAGAATATTTACTTCTGTTAAGTATCCCAGGCAGATGTTCAGAGATTTCAGCTATGAAATATTTTATGGCCCAAGTATAATTCTGCGAGAGATGGTGCTACTCATCTTAGATAATTAACACTTTCAAATGGATGACAGTTGAAAAAAAAAAAAAGATGAAAAGAACAACAGAAGAGCAGACATGCCTGTTGCCCAGAAAGCTGAAATATGGACAGCGACATAAGCTGAGGAACAAAGAGGAGGAGCAAATGGATTTAGAGGGAAACAAGCATATTGCAGAAGTACGAGAGGTAAGACGTGGAACACAACATTATAAATGTTCCAGAATTTCTGCATAAGCAATCTAGAGGACATCTGTAACTAGGGAAATAAAATGTACTCCAGGGTCTAAAAATGCAAGCAAATACCCTGTGTTCCACTGGAGCGCACTGTGGAGTATCTGTTAACAATTGGGTCTCTATGCGCTTATGTACCGTGTACACTGCATACCCTCAAAAGGTACTAACTTTCAGCTTGACATCCACTGAAAATAATTATTTTAGTTATTTTTTTTAAAAAGAGAAAGAGCTTTACTTTTTATAAGTTGTGGTCTTTTGCTCGTGATAACATATTTACTTACCTACGTACTTGCCAACTTCTCCTCTTTAGGCTTTCGGCCCATGATCCCCCCTCATTCCACGTGCTCTCACAATTCCTGCTTTGCTAATTTACCCCATCCAGTCTTGTGGCTAAATAATTGCGAAGGGCCAGGGAAATGTTATTCCTTAAGTGCCAATGTTCTAGGTATAATCTTTCCAATAATTAGAAAGAGGGACTATTCAAATCTGGCATGGTAGATGAGGGCTAGTGGTAGAGGTTCTAAAATGAAAAGACATGAATTCTTTTGTAGGATTTTAAATATATACATAGTCAGTTTAAACGTTTTTTATTTCAATTTTTTTTCTCTCCCCTTTGCATCAGAGCGATGAGATGCAGCTTCTCCATGCAAAGGAGCATATACTACCATGCTTGTGATATGCATTTATGGATATGGTTATAATTTCTAGCATATATTCAACAGAAGGAGGTTAAGAGAGGTGAACACATAACATGGAAAATACCAAGACTGGAGCAGGTTTGGACCATGCCCAAAATTGGCAAGAATTCAATTAGTTCACTAAACAGCACTCCCCTGAGCTGCCTAATGGAGAGAAAACTATTAAATGAAGCTTGTAAACAAAGAGAAGTAGTACAGAGGGTGATATTTTGATAGGACAGCAGTTAGAGGTGAGTTACAATATCCCTTCTCAGGGATTAAACTGCCCCAGCAGGGCTATTAATAAACCAGCTCCTTACAGGTATTACCTGCAAGTGTAGAGAGGCGCCTGCAGGAACCTCGCCAGCCAAGCGAACAAAGAGTTTTTGGAGGCAGGAGCCAAGGTGTGGAACGAGAGCTATGTTCTCTTCCTCTTCTGCTAACCAGAATGAAAGGGAATTTGCTCTGCATGGAAATTCGGTGTAAAGAACAGAGCATCATGCCTTCGCATCCTCAGTTCAATGCAAGTGCTTGAGGAGCTTTAACAGACTTGTCTACAGGAAACACTTACAGAAAACACAACCTGCAACATAATTAGGTGCCGAACTGGTTATGTCTAAACATCAAGACACCGCCTGGTTCTCGTGTGTTAGTGGGTCTCAGAATCATCTGAAGAATATTCTTAAAAATCAGAAGACAGCCATGAGCCCAATCTTGCTGATTCAGGAGGGGACTGAATTACCTGGCTTCTGATTCTCTGACTGAGAATGTGCTTTCCTACCAAGCTGTCAGGTAAATACTGATACTTCTGGTCTAGAAGTAACCAGATTGGCAGTGGCGGCATCACCTGGGAGTTTATTGGCCATGCATAATCTTGGTCCACTCTAGATCCAGTGGATCAGAATTTGCGTTTTAGAAGATTCTCATGTGATCTATACCTGTTAGTGTTTGAAAAGCAGTGCGGCAGGCTGGTTGGTCTCCATTTTGGCTGTACATTAGAAGCATGTGGGGATTTATAAAATAAAGCTATCCCGGTACTTCCCACCCTCAGCTTCAGAGCATCTGATTTCTTGGGTCTGGGGTAAGGCCCAGGAATTAGGATTTTTAAGAGATTACAGATGATCCTATCAGACAGCCAGGGTTCAAACTACTGTTTGAGGTGATAAGCTTTAGGGATGTTTAGTCTAAAGATGTAAGATGTCATTTTGATTGTTGTCTTCTCTGCCCAGGACACTTCTCCCTCCATCTTCCCCTATGTAGCTCTTGGATGTTCAGGTCAAGTGCTCAAGCGTTACTTCTTCAGACAGGAAGGACATGATGACTCTGAAATTACCCATCTCCACCAATCGTGTGGCATTCCCTTTGTCTTGTTATCTTAATACTTGTGTGTATGAGCAGTCTTATGACTTTATTGCTTCTTCCACACCAGAGAAGGGACCTCAATCACCTTTGGTCACAGTGTTTAGGAAAGTGCCTTACACATAGCAAACATAGTGAAAAATATTTGCTTACCACTATCTTTGTAAAGGAAGAGCAACCAATATTTTGGAGAAGACTAGAGTGGTAGAAGAAGAGAGAGCGAAGGAGGGATGGAAATGGAGGGAAGGAGGGAGAGAGGGAAAGTCAGAGTGGTCAAACAGGAATTGTCTAAATGGAAGAAAGTGATAATGAGATAAGAATGAGAGAGCCACACAGAACATAATAAAAACAACAGTAAAAGAAAACTGTCTTGTGATTAGACAGGAAGAGACCACAAATGTCAGGAGATGGTTGTTATGATGCCTGCAGAAAATAATTCAAGTTCTTTTTCTTTCAAAGTAATTCAACTTTGACCCAGGAAAGAGTTATTGGGCTGGAGGAAGGGAAAGAAAAAAAGTATATATATAAAATCTTCTTAAGAAAGAAACAACACAGAGGGGTTACTGACCAGATAAAAGCAATGCTCAATTCTGGGGTGGATTAAAAATGGCCACCACTTCTTTCCTGTTCTCCTATTATGAGGTAGGGTCTATTTCTCTCCCCTTGAGTTTGGGTTGGATTTATGTCACACTCTGACCCACAGAGGGTGTCAGAGGAATACTAAGTCTCTTGAGCCTCAGCTTCAAGGGGTTCAGCATTTTCTGTTTTCATATTCTTGGAACCCTGCAGCCTTATGAATAATCCCAGATGAGCCTTCATGAGGAAGAGAGGCAGCTGTGGGCAAGAGAAAGGCAGGCCCCACCATTCGGGCTGTGGACCCATCATGTGAATGAGATCCCCCAGCATGGCAACAAAACTACTACCCCCTGGGGCCCGGCCCAAATTGCCAATCTACAGAAACCTGAGGATATATTTATACAGTTGTTGCTTTAAGCTACTGGATTTTGGAATGGCAACAATACACAACTGGTACTCTTTCCCAAGTTCTGCCAAGTGTGATTTAGAGTTCAAATTCAGATCAGGGACTTACAAATTGAAATACACAGGCTAAAAACAAATATTAGTAAACATTCTGAATTTTATTAGGAGTTATGAAGAATACAGAGGTTCCTTTCCCACTGAGGCCAAGTTCCTCATTGTTATAAAGTTCCATTCAACTTCTAGTGAAGATGGATTTGGGGCAGATGTTCCCAGGACGTAAGCAAACAATTTACTCTTTTTCACTTTCAAGATTATGAAAGATACTTCATAATAGGATGTCTCACCATGTTTTTTAGGGCTGTGTGTTCTTCAGGAATCCTTTGCTAACCCTTCCTCTAATGTATTATAATTGATAACCTTCCTATTTCCAAGAAGAAATTGAGTCAATTCACTGTTAATAGTGTGGCTAGAGGCTCCTCACTGATGGCTCCAGAAATTTCCAGGGAAGTGTTTTCTCAGTGTTCACTTCATACAAGAATAAATCAAGCATGGGAATGCAGAACTAGATCTGATTTACTGTAATACACTACAGAGTAAATTGGTGAGCTAGAATGCCAAGAGGCATGATAAATACTGATTTTTCTCTCATTTATTCTAGCCCCTGACCATCTGTTTTGGTTCCTTATCTTCGGTTGTTGAAATGAAAATGTATTTAATTGCTCTTTCAAGGATTCATACATTCCATTCTATGTCTCTGTGTCCAAAGGTCTATTATTATCCCATTTCTTATGGTCTCTGCATTTGCTTTTTGGGGAACAAAGTATGAGCACATTTCCATAAGTGAGAGGTAAGTTTTATGGTATGCTCCAAGTAATATACTAACATCTGTCCAAATGGGTCAGAAAGACTTATGGGTATGACAGCCATGGGGATTTTTTCAAAGCTTCTATATAAGTCTAGTTCATGCAGTTATAAGATAAACACATGGGAAAATGCGCCTTTTACATAATGGTTTGCTATTTCATCCTGACACAAAATATTTTACTTATACCACAAGCTACTTTTATTTGCCCTGAAAAAGTCTGAAATGTCTGGCGACAAACACTAAAAATGGATGCAAATTAAAACCACATTTAATTCACTATGGGAGGGAAGCTTTGAAGAGTGTATGGAGACATGGAATATTCACATTATGTAAACAATTGTTCTTTAATAAGGGAGCGGTAACTACTCAGTGTAAATTAACACCTATCTTATAATCAGGACCCTCAAAGAACCTCTTCAAACCATTCTATTCAGCAAGAGATAAGGTTATAAAGTGAGATCCTGCCTAAACTGCCTGGGAGCAAAAGCAAATATCTCAAGACTATGATTATATTTTGCATGACTAAATGTTTCTGAGGCTTTGCCTATAAAAGTGTCAGGATAAATTTGTGTCTAATATTAACAAATGCAGTTCTAAATTCAGATCGTTATAGCTGGGCACATGTAAGGGACAAATCATACAGCTGATATTACAGATCGTTCTGTTAGCAATTAGTACAAAATACTGCATTTCTACTGGAGTCCTCCATGCATAATAACTACCGGCTTACTGTCACAAAATATTCACACACTACATCCACA